GTCTTAGTGCCTCTTAGATTAAAACAACCACTTTATGAATATTTATAGCAAGGGATGCAATTGGGGGTGGCCTTGAGTTTCTTAAGGAGGGTATAATCTTGGTTAGAACCTTATATGACCATTAGTCGAGCATATAAAGTCATGTTGTGGACTTGAGTTAATTAAAGAGGGTGTAAGTTGTAAATGTTAAATATACAATTCAAAGGCCAAGTGGTTGATTCCAACCACCCTAATAGACTCCTAGGGTGTTTTGCAAGCACCCCAACATGTTTTTTTCCAAGGTCCCAAAAAGTCAATAATTGTCTTAAAAATAAAGGGGCCCGTAATCCACGTTTTTTGGCCAATTTTTGTAAATTTATCCAAGATTGATGTGAATGCATGGGGTGTCCCCCAATATCATATAAGTTTGTTTGGAACCTTACATTAGGGAATTGTTATATAATAGGAAAGTCATTTCCTTTTTGCAATAAAGGGTCTTTTAGAAACATCCTCTTTATAAATTTTTATGCTAGGGGATGCATTTCGGGGTTATATATTAATTGTAGGAACCATCCATGACCACAAGTCGATCAAATAAAGTCATGTAATGGCCTTGAGTTAATTAAGGAGGGTGTAAGTTGTAAATGGGAAATTGACAGTTTTAAGGCAAAGGAGATGGTTTCAACCACCTAAATGGACTCCGAGAGGGTCTTGGGTAGCACCCCAACATGTTTTTTTCATGAGTGCCAAAAAGTTAAAATTGTCCAAAAATGAAGGTTATAATCCACGCTTATGGGCCAATTTTGTTATTTTTTTCCAAATTTTAAGTGAAAGCATGGGGTGTCCCCAATAAGTAGGTTTGGAACCACAGTTTGGGGATTTGTGATACAATAGGTGATTCGTTGGCCTCTTGAATCAAAGGGTTTTAGAAACAGCCTTTTAATTAATTTTTGTACTACATATGATGGTTTGCTAGAGAGGAAATTACTGGATTGTAATTCGTAAACACTACATGAATAGCTGTTCAGAATGTGCACATGTCTACTATTTTATGTATTCTGGTTTTCTATTAGTAACTAAGAAGAATATTTGTTTTACTAGGTTTCACAGCTAATTATTGGGGACTCTGGAGCTGCAGAAGGGGTTTGGCTACGCATTTTGACATACAAACTTACTTTCTCAGCTAGTATTGGATCAGTACACTGACATATCTTTGTTACTCTAGGTATTGCTGGCTGATGGAACGGAGATTCATTCTTCTGCTGTTCTATCAAATGCAACTCCTTATAGAACTTTTGTGGTAGAGTTCCTGTGTGTGGAGGCACTTGTCTTATTTTTGTGAATCGCGGAAAAGATTGTGTCATTTAATCACATATTTCTATAAAATAGATAAATCTTGGTGTATTTGGGAATTTCTTGTGAAAAGTTGTCTTATTGGATGCAGGAATTAATGCCAGATGATAAACTTCCTGATCAGTTTATTCGCACTATAAAAAATTGTGACTATAGCTCGGTAAGAATAATTCAGATTATCTAAATTAGTCTAAACATCACATGTTTCTAGCACTTTATTATTTTGTAACTGTTATTGAACATTGATTAATGTGCTTGATATACTATTGTTCCTATTTAGAAAAATAGACTTGATGGATTGTCCTTTTGTAGTGAGTTGGAGCCAAATACAAAGTGTTTTGCCAGCTTGGGTAGTCCAAGTCTGCAGAATGTTTTTGTAGTCTTACTCTTTTGTTTTCATGTCATTCTTGGATGTTTTATCCTTAAGACATCTGCTTTCTGTGATTCTATTAAATGGTAGTAAAAGTGGTATTCGCTTGTTTGGTCACTTAATTGCTTTGTAACCAAGGACGATCAATCTAACAAAGGTTTTAGGGTGGGGAGGAGAGATCTAAAAAGACTTAGTGTAGTTGGTTTACCTCCAATTTTCAGATGCCCTTAATGGCATGGACTTATGTACTCTGAACTCTGCCTCATACAATGTAGATTTTCTGTAGACTGTAGTGGAATTTGTAAAGGCTTATGTTTTGGATGCATTTCTCACTGATTTAGTCTTGCAATTGGTAGTAAGACTTGGGGTGGAGATGAGCCCGAACTGAAAGCTGCTTTTGATGGAAATGACTTTTTAGATTGTTAGCCACCTTTTGATGGAGATAACCTTCTACTTCCACCCAAATATTTCCTCATCTATTTTCCCCCTCTTCTATCAGTTATCTATGCTAGAAACTGATCTTTTTCCTCATATCATAGCATCAATGGAGAAGACTAGGAGGTGGGAAAGGAAACTAAGATGGAATTGAGGTGTTTATGGGTGTAAACATCTCCTAAAGCCCACTGTGTCGAATTGTCGATGCAATACCTTTTGACTGAATTTATGTATTTGTAGGGTCGGAGATGCTTATTATTTGCTTTGGCGTGGTCTAACGTTGTCACCATACTAACATTCAATGTTTTTGGGTCATTCTTTTACAGGGAACCACAAAAATTAATTTAGCAGTTGACAAGTTGCCCCAGTTTGATTGTTGCAATAGCAAAATGAGCCACCTGGATGCTGGCCCTCAACATGTTGGTACTATTCACATTGGTTCTGAGAGGTATGGCATCAAATAGGTGCTGTGCAGAGATAAGTTGTAAATTTTGCTTTTTGCCACTGATACATAAACTGGTTGATCTCCTAAGTGGATAAGTATGGCTGGATGGCTGCATGTGAGAAACTGAGAACAGAAGCTGATAAAATAGACTTATAGAGTGCTTGTTTATTTTTTAAATGGATAGCTTAACAGGATGTGCTTATTTTTGTTAACATGTTTAGTAAGCAGCAGCTTTGTGATGATTGGCTAAAGGAAAGATAAATGGCTGTATGGGACTATGGCTATATAAGACCTGTTATTTCAGTTAATCTGTGATCTATTGTAATGTTGAAAATCCTACTTGAAATTTGAAACTGCAAATCCTGCTAACTGTTGAATAAAATATCTACTATCACCTCTAAGGCGAAGGCACCGACAAATTCAGGAAGTTCTAGTCATGGTGCTTCCATGGCCAAGAGAACCTTTTCTTCCTGAAATCTAGAGTGACGTTTGGACTTGTGTGAAAACAAATAACCAAAAAGTGCAACAGAACACTGCAATAATGCTGCAAATCTTGTAAAAATTAACCCTTGTAAACCTGGGAAATGTGGTTTGAATGTTTGAATTACAGGGGATTTAATAATTATATGAGTATACTATGTGACTTGTTTCGATGCTGCTTTCCACAGCATGGAGGAGATTCACTCAGCTTGTCAAGATGCTTTGAATGGCTTGCCATCACAAAGACCAGTTATGGAAATGACAATCCCTTCTGTTTTAGACAAAACAATATCTCCTCCAGGTATTATTTATGTTGTTGCTTAATGTATGGTGAAGGTAAAGAAACCTTAAGCCGCCTTTAATAGTAAAAACTCCCTTTTTTGTGAAATGTTCCTTAAATAATTTTAACTCTTATTCTATATGATAAAATTGTTTTAGCTGATGGAATATATTCTTATTATAAAAGAAAAAATAAACCTTTTTGTGTTACATGGCAATACCAAAGTTTCTCGTGGTAATCTATTTGCTCTAAATTGACACTATCAAATATTTAAGTTCCTCATCTGTACTTCAATAGCAACTACTTCAAAAAGAAACAATTCAGTAAATTATGTTCTCAAAAGATGGTAAGTTCTAAGAAATGTCAAGTTTCATGGGAAGAAGGCTGTAAGTATGCTAAAATTTTGGTGTTAGAATTGACAGATTTGCTTAAAAAATTCAGACAAGTCTTCGATAAAATGATGAAAAAGTCTAATGCTTTAATCTGAACTCAATGCAGCACGACAGAAGTCTTCTACACCCTGTAGCTGACAATTTTCCTAATCATTGTTCCCTATTTTTTGTGGTTTAAGTTAGCAAAATTTATTGCATGTGTAACATACACCGAAGCATACCAAGCAAAATACTTCTGGTTTTTTCACCACCTATAATATTGAGATTGCTGACTTGCTGTCTGCTTATCTTCTATAGGAAAACATGTAATCAACTTATTTATCCAATACACACCCTATCAACCATCAGATGGCAGTTGGCAGGACACTGCGTACAGGGTGAGGTTATTTTCAGTTTTATGCAAAGTCTGCTCAACATATGATACAAGCACTTCAGTTTATTTGTTTTCATGCATATGGTTTTAGTGGTTCATGGTGTCTGTTTACAAATTTCTTGAAGATTATCTGCCCTTTTCAAGCCGACAAAGTTCTGCTATCAAGGTCTTTAGTCATGTGCTCCTACACACCTGATGTGCTAATCTTGTGGGTTTAATTTGCTTGTCAGAAAATGCCTCTATGATAACATCTACTTCATTAGCACTCAATCTTTTCTTTGTGATAACGGTATGACGTATATGTGCAGGAGTCATTTGCAAATCGGTGTTTCTCCTTGATTGATGAGTATGCACCTGGCTTCAGTTCATCTGTTCTTGGATATGACATGCTTACTCCTCCAGACTTGGAGAGAGAAATTGGCTTAACAGGTGCTTGAGTTTATATCCAGTCATTATGTGTTTGTCCTGTTTCCTGTTTCTTAATCTCCAATTAGTTCTGCTGGAACTTGTATCACATCATACCCCTAAACTTTAATTACCCCATAAACTACAATACCCATAAACATGTAAGCATCTTTTTAATGATTTTTCAGGAGGGAATATCTTCCATGGAGCTATGGGATTAGATTCTCTCTTTCTTATGAGACCTGCAAAAGGATGGTAAATTCTGTTGGGTTATATTGTTTATAGAGATATTGTTTGCTTACTTCTGATTATTTCTCTCTTTCAACAGGTCAAATTACAGGACACCATTACAAGGATTGTATCTGTGTGGAAGTGGAGTTCATCCAGGCGGAGGGGTTATGGGAGCACCTGGCCGTAATGCCGCGCAAATAGTTCTTAACGATTTTAAGAAATAAGATGGCCAGACGGGTGTGGCAGAAGCACATTGATTCTATGATTTAACCTGGATTATATTCTAATTTTCCCGTTCATGGCACATTGGCACCATTTCAACGTTGTACAAATGAGAGTATTTTCATGTATTTTACATTTACCTTAAACTTTAGGAATGTAATTCATTTTACTCGTATAATGTACTCTCTTGCAATAGCTAATTTAAGCTCGTAGCATAGTTTCTATACAATACAACCACAAATTAAAACAAGTAATAACACTATTAAGCACTTGTTAAACCACATCTCGAAGAGAGAGTCCACTGGCGAAGAGGCCACATTAGTTATAACTTGGACATTGAATAAAGTAGATTTGCTCAATCATCAAAAGCTCACACTTTCACCTCCGCCAGGTAGAAACTGACTTTGGGACAAAACTGTTGGTGGTAGAAGATGCTTCTAACCTGCATTGATGCAGCAGATCAGTTTACCGATATTTCGTTTCAAAATAGATGAGCGATCTTTCTATTTTCCTTTATATAGGAGGTGTGGAAGCAAGGGGTGTGTGTAGCCTACCTTGAAATTTCTTCAACAGCCCGGATAACCTCTGCAGAGTTAGTTTCTAATACTTGGCCTCCAAAAATAATCTCATCTACAATAGTATGAAGCTGCAAAGTCGAAGGTAAGAACATGAATCAGTGCTACACTATAGGATGTCTTTTGCTATGCAACCTAGTTTATGAAAATTATCAGAGAGACTCAAAAACAACATAACAATACGGAGTATTCAACAATAGACTGCAAATTTAGAGGAATGAGGAGATGGAGGGATAATTAGTCCCTCCATCTAGCCCCCAAGTGATGGGGGTTCGATTCCTCATCCAGTCCCCCCCATTACTTTGATTTGCTTTAATATGGAGTAAACAACTGGTTTAAAGCAAAAGAATACATTGACAGAATGATAGTAACAATAGCTCCAGATAATTAAGTGCAAAAGAGATGGAATTATCTACAAACTGTAAATTGTGTATTACACAGATAGTACTACCTTGCCATAATTGAACACTATGTCAAGCTCACAGACATTCTTGAAGCATTTGTCCAAAGTTTCAACAAAAACTGTAAGACAATACCAAGTTTCAATATAGGAAGTGAATTGAAAGAGAGACGTTGATAGAAAGAAAAATATGGAATGGCAAGGAAATTTCAAATGGAGTATTGGCTATAATGCAGCAAACATGCACAGAACTCTTAGAGCATGACATAAATAATAAAACATAGCTCCAAGGAAAGTTCAAAATGAAAAAGGGGATCAAGATTCAAGGGGAATGAAGTTTTATTTTGTAACTGGGGAGGGAAAAACATACCTTGTATTAAATCTAGCATTGCTAGCTCATTTTCAGCACTGTCATACACGAATACAAAGTAAAGGGTTGCATAATGCTTGTATACAAGTCGAGAATCCTGCAAATGAGAAAGCATCAGATTAAAGGATAACTAATGGAGCAATAATGTTATGTGCCAATGCATCAAACACAAATTAGATAGTTCAAGACAATAAAAAGGAATGTATAAAGAAAATTTCTGGGGCTTATAGATTTATGAAGTCCAGGAGAAGGAGAATGCAAATTTGCATAGAACTCTTACATGTGGCAGTCTTATTTCCAAAGACCCAAATTACAAAGTTGCAGCCAGTTGAAGGCTTTCATTGGGTGTATAGAAGCAAGTAGATAGCAGTTGGCGAAACACACTGCAGCTCTGAAGATAAAAGGTTATAGTCTAACACTGTCACCCAGTTACTACTCTCTGTGCCTTAAGCAGTAGAACGGTGACATCAAAAGTTAAGCCATATATATTGGTGACATCAAAAGATCTACGCCATCTTCTGGTTACATTATCACTCAAAATATATTTTCCGAAGACTTTCAAAGAATGGGCTGAATAGTTACTAATCTTGTGCCGCAAGGGGTATTTCTGATCCGCATTATAACATAAGCATGGTATGCAAAATGGAATTCCTGTCAAACATCAACTATCCTTAATCTCCTACTGAATTCAAACTCCCAAGTCAATACATAATCTCCTACAGAACAATATCTGCACGCTAAATGTCAAGTTCTTGGATATATTAGAGGCACCATTGGTCTAGACATTCTGCTCAATGGCTTAAATGAATTTACTCTGCAAGTATACAATGAATTTGACTGGGTTAAAGTATTCAGATACCGATTAGTTATGTTGGGAAAATCTCCAATCAATTGGAATTTCAATAAAAACAACTACTATCTCTTAGTCATCACTAGTCTCTAGATCAGAGGTTATTATAGAGCCAAGCCTAAAGTTGCTTCAGAGATTGTATGGTGTGTTAATAGTTGAAACCAGTCACACTTCATTGAGGCAATCAATGTGCCCAGTGCATAGCCAAATCCCTGCACATTAACATTTGTTCCATAATACATGGACTCAATTCAGCTGATATATTTTCCTATAAGGTCCAACTAAAATGATCCTTTCATCCATGCTAGGATTGTTTTTTGAATCCTTCAGCTTAAGAAAGGTGTTAATGAATACAGCGCATGCAACACAAGCTTCAGACAGCAATACAACAGATTCCAGCAACCTTGACGGTAAATCAGCAAGGGTTAATATTTAGGAGAAGTCAAATTATGTTATGTCAAGAGCATGATCGAATGATCTTTAACGCAACTTGAAAGGAATTCCTGTCTCGTTGCTGTGCTAAGATAATTATCTAACTTATTAGCAATCTCGCTTTCTTATATTCTACCAATAGTATTAGACTTAATCCTTTTTTCTATATATATATTGCACACATCCGTAGCACTAGAGCTCAAGCGAAGTCAGCAGAGATGGATTTGCAAATTCTACACATTATTCTTATAAAAACTATCCACCAGAGTCGAAAACAGAAACCGCTACTCCGAAAAAGAAGCTCTAACAAGTGTTACAACAATAAAACTAAAAATACATACGAAGATAACAAAAAATCGGCAGCATAGAATCATTAATTTAGGTCAATTAACACAGAAACATAGGTTTGATAGTTAAATCCATAGATTAAGACTGGAGAGATCAAATTTAACTACAGAAACGACAACGAAGAAATTAACGCTAAATTAAACATCAAAGATGAACAGCAGATCATCAAAGATCATGAAATTTGCAAACGAATTAATACAAAATTGAAGCAGCGGAGGTAAATAAATACATACCGGACCAAAAATGGAATCAACATTGACGAAATTGCTGACATTATCAGGCCTGTTGCACAATACTACATCAAATAATTACCAGAAATTACAAATTCGTCGATTTCAAAGTAAAATCTATCACAATTGATTATGAAAATGTGAGGAATTAGAGAGAGAAGAGAACCTGAGTAGAGAGTACGAATCAGCTCCTGCTGTTTATCTGGAGGCTTTGAAGAAAAAAATGGTAAAATTAAAATGCAGATATCATCAATTTGATTTCTGAGGAAAATCAATGATGCTAAGCAGATGATTAAGGAAGATGGAAAAATACCTTAGAATCGTAGAATTTTGTGAGGCGAGGTTTTCCCTGAGTGTTCATCACTATCACCGCTTTTATCATTTTTTTGATTTTCAAGTGAAACTCCAAATTATGATTCGATTTGATCTACTTCTTCTCTAAACTCGGCTCTTTCCTGTATGTTATACATATATACGACCAATTTGTATTTAGTACCCCTACACATTGTTCATTGTTGAGTACTAGAGCGAGCGGGCCACAATTTATAAGGCTATATGTATAGTTGGAGAGGATTTCACTGAAGTAAAAAGACAAACGAATTAAGGTTCAGCTCACTTGCTAAGACTCTAGAGCTCGGACAAGTAATTCTTATTGACATAATGACATTGATACAATTGAGTACTAGCAAAGAAGCCAAATTTTTTAATCGAGTAACCGATACAAGCAAAATATTTATACAACCTCGACACATAGCCACATAGGTTGATTTATTTAGGTTTTTTTGACATCTAATCTACGACTAGATAAGTCAAAACTCAAAAATCTACCCGAGTGACTCGACTAGAAACTTATTCGAAAAATATAAAATTCAAATATGGACTTGTTTAGACACAATAACTTAATCAGCCCCAATTAGAGCTGTCAATTCGGGTAAACGGGTCGGGTTTGGGTCGGGTAAGAGTGGTCGGGTCAACTCGGGTCGGGTCAATTCATATTAATTCCATAACCTATGTGGGTAGGGTTTGGGTTGGGTCATGCTTGAGTCGGGTCACGTCGAGTCATACTTCTTATCGGGTTTGGGTCGGGTTTAGGTCGGGCTAATAACAGGTCGAGTTACATTCGCGTCAGGTGAACAATAGGTCGGGTTTAATTCGGGTTTTCACGGGTTAAAACGGGTAAGGGTAATTCTCAGGTTCGAGTCAAGTTCGGTTCAAGTCAATAATTTGCGGATTAGAATCAGGTCAGATCATTCTCGGGTTTGATTCGGGTTTGATTCAAGTCAATAATTTGCGGTTTATTATCAGGTCGGGTCATTTTCAAGTCAGGTCATTTTCGGGCTCAAGTCGGGTTCGGTTCAAGTCAATAATTTGCGGGTTATAGTCAGGTTGGGTCATTTCCAAGTTGGGTCATTCTCGGATTCAAGTCGGGTTATGTTCAAGTCAATAATTTACAGATTACAATCAGGTCGGGTCATTTCCAAGTCAGGTCATATTTGAGTTCAACTAACTAACTAACTAACTAACTAACTATATATATATATATATATATATATATATATATATATATATATATATATATATATATATATATATATATATATATATATATATATTGACAAGAGATAATTATCATTTTTATCAAGCTAATTATTTCCTTTGACTATATATAACATATATGGCAATATACTAGGGAACTATAGTCTATAATTTAGGTAGATAATTATCTCCTTTGACCATACAGCAAATATGTACTATATTTAACACTTAAAATTGAGGATGATGCTCCTTTCTTTTACTGGACCAACTTGGTCTCCCAAGACAAAATGCTTTGAACAACAATAATAAGGTGGTCTAAATTGCATTTAAGGTAACTTGAAATTGGGTCAAGAACAATTTGAGTTGAATTTAGGTCGGGTCAATAACAATTCGTGTTAATTTCGAGTCGGGTTAGTAACAGATGAGGTTGAATTTTTGGGTTGGGTAAGTAATAGGTATGTTAAAATTTGGGTCGGGTCAATAATAAGTCGGGTTGAATTTGGATCAGGTCAATAACAAGTCGGGTTGATTTCAGGTCGGGTATAGTGACAAGTTAGGTAAAATTTGGGTCGGGTTGAATTCAGGTAAGGTTAGTAAAAAGTCGAGTTAAATTCGTGTTTTGACAGGTTAAAACGGGTTTGGGTCAATTTTGGTTCAAGTTGGGTTCGGTGCAAGTTAATTAAATTGGCCGTTGTAAATCGGTAAATCGGTGCAAGTTGTAAACCAGTAAATTGGCCATTTAAAAGCAAATTGAATGGTTCCACACACCCAATTGGACTCCCGGAGGTTATTAAGTATCATGGTAAACATTTCGGCAATTTTTATTTCCGGCGAAAAAGAAGTCAAAAAATCCAAAATTGAAGAATAATATCCACGCTTTTTGAGAAATTTTGGAGGTTTCAGAACCTGGTGTTGAAAAGTCTTGAAATTCAATGGGATACATCTCGTGTTCATATAATGTCGTTTCGAACCATATATGATCATTTTATGTTGTCATAATTGTTCTTGGTAGGCTTGAATTAATGAAATCAATGCAAGTTGTAAACCGGTAAATTGGTTGTTTAAAGGTAAAGTAGATGGTTCCACCCACCCAATTGTACTCCCACAGAGTATAAGGGACCATGGTAAATATTTCGGCAATTTTTATTTCCTGACAAAAAAAAAATCAAAACATTTCAAAATTGAATGCAAATATCCACACTTTTTGAGAAATTTTGGATGTTTTGGGGCCCGGTGTAGAAAAGTATTAATTTTTTAGGGGATACATATCCGGGTTATATAATGTTGTTTATGATCATTATATATTGTCATAAATGTTCGTAGTAAGCTTGAATTAAAGAAATCCGTGCAAGTCGTAAACTGGTAATTAAATTGGCCGTTTAAAGTCAAATTGGAAGGTTCCACCAACCCAATTGGACTCCCGAAGGGTATTAGGGACCATAATCAATGTTTCGACAATTTTTAAGTTCGGGCGAAAAAAAGTAAAAAAATTCCAAAATTTTGGAATTTTTTTACTTTTTTTCGCCCGGATATAAAAATTCCCGAAATGTTTACCATGGTCCCAAACACCCTGCGGGATTCCAATTGGGTGGGTGAAACCATCCAATTTGCCTTTAAACGACCAATAGACCGATTCAAGACTTGCACCGATTTCATCAATTCAGCCAACCACGAACATTTATGACAACAAATAATGATCATATATGGTTCCAAACGACATTATATGCCCCCTAAATGTATCCCATAGAATTTCAAGATTTTTCGACATCGGACCACGAAACCTCCAAAATTTGTCAAAAAACATGGATATTAACTTTCAATTTTGGATTTTTTTGACTTTTTTCACCTGGAAATAAAAATTGCCGAAATTTTTACCATGGTACCAAATATCCTTCGGGAGTCCAATTAGGTGGGTGGAACCATCCAATTTGCCTTTAAACGTCTATTTTACTGGTTTACAAGTTGCATCGATTTCAATAATTCAACCTAACCACGAACATTTATAACAACAAATAATGATCATATATGGTTTAAAAAAACATTATATGACCCCGAGATGTATCCTATAGAATTTCAAGAATTTTTGACACCAGGCCCCAAAACTTCCAAAATATCTCTAAAAACGTGGATATTAGCATTAAATTTTGTTATTTTTGACTTTTTTCGCCCGGATATAAAATTGCCAAAACGTTTACTATGGTCCCTAATACCCTCCGGGAGTCCAATTGGGTGGGTGGAACCATCCAATTTGCCTTTAAACGACCAATTTACCGGTTTACAACTTGCACTGATTTCATTAATTCAAGCTAACAACGAACATTTATGACAAAAAATAATGATCATATATGGTTCCAAACGACATTATATGACCCCGAGTTGAATCCCATATAATTTCAAGACTTTTCGATACCAGGCCCCGAAACCTCCAAAATTTCTCAAAAGCATGGATAATTAGCCTTTAATTTTGGAATTTTTTGAATTTTTTTCGACTGAAAATAAAAATTGCCGAAATATTTACCATGGTACCTAATATCCTCTGGGAGACCCATTGGGAGGGTGATACCATCCAATTTGCCTTCAAACGTCCATTTTACTGGTTTAAAAGTTGCATTGATTTCATTATTTCAAGCCAACCACGAACATTTATAACAACAAATAATGATCATGTATGGTTTCAAACAACATTATATGACCCCGAGATGTATCCCATAGAATTTCAAGACTTTTCGACACCGGGCCCTAAAACTTCAAAAATTTCTCTAAAAACGTTGATATTATCCTCTAATTTTGGAATTTTTGACTTTTTTTTCGCCCGGATATAAAAATTATCAAAAATTTTACCATGGTCCGTAATACCCTCCGAGATTCAATTGGGTGATTGGAACCATCCAATTTGCCTTTAAACGACCAATTTACCGGTTTACAACTTGCACTGATTTCATTAATTCAAGCACAACAACGAACATTTATGACAACAAATAATGATCATATATGGTTCAAAACGACATTATATGACCCCAAGATATATCCCATAAAATTTCAAGACTTTTCGACACCGGGCCCCGAAACCTCCAAAATTTGTCAAAAAACGTGGATATTAGCCTTCAATTTTGGAATTTTTTTGACTTTTTTCACCCTGAAATAAAAATTGCCGATATGTTTACCATGGCACATAATGTCCTCCGGTAGTCCAATTGCGTGGGTGGAACCATTCAATTTGCCTATAAACGTCCATTTTACGGGTTTACAAGTTGCACCGATTTCATTAATTCAAGCCAACCACGAACATTTATAACAACAAATAATGATCATATATGGTTCCAAACGGCATTATATGAACCCGATATGTATCCTGTAGAATTTCGAAACTTTTCGACACCTGGCCCCGAAACCTCCAAAATTTGTCAAAATACATGGATATTAGCCTTCAATTTTGGAATTTTTTGATTTTTTTTCACCCGAAAATAAAAATTGCCGAAATGTTTACCATGGTACCTAATATCCTTCGGGACTCCAATTGGGTGGGTGGAACCATCCAATTTGCCTTTAAACGTCCATTTTACGGGTTTACAAGCTGCACGGATTTCATTAATTCAAGCCAACCACGAACATTTATTACAACAAATAATGATCATATATGGTTCCAAACGGCATTATATGACCCCTAGATATATCCCGTAGAATTTTAAGACTTTTCGACACTGGGCCCCGAAATCTCCAAAATTTGCAAAAAAACGTGGATATAGCCTTCAATTTGGAATTTTTTGACTTTTTTTTATCCGGAAATAAAAATTACCGAAATGTTTACCATGGCACCTAATATCCTCCGGAAGTCCAATTGGGTGGGTGGAACCATCCAATTTGCCTTTAAACGTCCATTTTACTGGTTTACAAGTTGCACCGATTGCATTAATTCAAGCCAACCACGAACATTTTTAACAACAAATAATGTTAATATATGGTTCCAAACGACATTATATGACCCTGAGATGTATCCCGTAGAATTTCAAGAC